CAACCAAATCGAAATCAACATTAAGGAAAGGAATATACTGTAATGAACAAAATAATAAAGTTTATATAATTTTAGTTGATAATGTTCTCTAATCATTTAATACATATACAGATACAAACTATGTTATACATTTGCATTAGAATGTTTTATATATAAAAAATAATTAATATTATATCTCTTATTGTCTTATTATTTACTAGTGATAGATAATAAAGAATCATTATGTGTCCTAAAATATCGCATGTCATGGATTTGCGTGATTTATTTTATACAAAGTAACTGTAAACGAAAAAACTTAGAAATATAAATGTAAAACTTATATATAAATATAAATATAAACATATTTCTTTCTCTCTCTCTCCCTCTCTCCCTCTCCCTTTCTCCCTCTCCCTCTCTCCCTCTCCCTCTCTTTCTCTCTCTGTAATACTTTCTAAAAAAAATTTCAAAAATGTCAATTTTTTAATGATGCTATACTGGCAACAATTCTTTGTTTTATGATATAAAAATATCGAAAGTATATCAAAAATATGGAATAAAAATTTCACATATATGCTAATTTTTATTTTCGAAAAATTTGGCTTCAGAATTCAGAATGTTAATTAAATTATATAATCATTAATTATTGTAGATGTAATAATTTTAATCATTATTACATATAATTACATATTATTACATATAATTACATGTATACATTATTAATAATTATAAATTTTATAATTATTATATAATATAATTAATACTTAATCATTACAATCAATAATTGCAATTAATAATTATTATAATAAAAATATCAATTATAATACAATTAATAATTATAATTATTAATATAACAATTAAATTATAATGATATTATTAAGAATTGTGTAAAATTAAAGCGAAGGAAAAAGATGACTAATTTTTCAAGTTTGACTTCTTAACAAGTTTTATATGAGAAAAAATTGTATTCTATATATATTGACATATGTGTTCCCTATCATATATATATATCTTCATATATATATATCTTCATATATATATATCTTCAGATATAAAATATGTGACTGTTTAAAATTACTCGAATTCAATATGATTTAACCATAATTTAAAATTAAACATGATGAGATTACTCGAACCAGCTTAATAGCTTTTTCATGAGGCAAATTATTTTTTATTACAAAGTTTATGAATCATTGGCGCATTATCGATGGATGGAAATCTTTGGATTGTTTAATTTTTCCTAGATAGATAATAAATTCGTTCATTTTGGGAATGTGTTTCATCAGGATATCATTCTTTCATGTTTGTATGCGTCAGTCTAGGATTAGAACCATTGTCTTTTATATATTTTTCCTTCATATTCATTTATATCTACTTGTCACTTGTTAATTTATCCGATAAGTGCATTTTGGGAAATGTATTTATTTGCAATGCTAAACATTCAATTGATCGTTAACAATATTATTTGTAAAAGAAGAGATATTCTTTGAATCTTCGTCATATTGATTACTTCAGTTTGGATTGAATAGATTTTATTATTATATATTTTTCGATAAATATCTTCGTCAAGAGCAGCTATGGACAATTGTCCGAGATCGTGTATAATCTGATTCTTTAACCTAAAAAATAAAAAAAATAAACACATGCTTGTTATTATATGTATAATTTATATTACATATTTTCACTACATTAATGCAATAATGTTTTAATTTTTTTAAATAAAAGAATTTATTAAAAAGTAAATATAAATAAAAGTATATTTTCTAAGATAAAATTTCATAAAATAATTTCATTTGCAAAATATTTTTACTCTGTCGTTTACTCTCTATCATTTATTAATGTTTGTATATACAATCATATATCTATAATAAAATTTTATATGTATAATATTTATATATTTATGTATAAAATAATTTATATTTTATGTATAAAATAATTTTTAATGAAAACATAAGTCTTGATTATGCAATAGATTTTTGAATAATTAAAAGAAAAAGATCTTATGATATGGAGAAAATTTGCTATTTACTTATAATTTTATATTTACTGGAGGGAAGTAAGTATAATCAAACTAGGCATATGGAAAATTCATTATTTTTCTGTTTTGAACAACTAAATGTGTCGTAATCACTGAATTCTAATATCAATAAAAATTCACTCTTTACATATATAACAATGCTACATATACTTTAAGGATAATTACGATTTGTAGGTATAAACAGAAGTGTTTATACTTGTTAGCTACATACATGCATACACACACACACACACACACACACACACACACACACACACACACACACACACACACACACACACACACACACACACACACACACACACACACACACACACACACACACACACGCACACGCACGCACGCACACGCACACGCACACGCACACGCACACGCACACACACACACACACATATATATAAATAATATTTTCTTCTCTGATAATTTTAACATATATTTCCTGAAATCTACTTACAATCTTTTTTGTTTAATCCTCTTCTTCTATGCTTAGTAAATTTTGAAGCAAAATTTGATATTAAATTTCCAAAATTATAGAATATCATCGTTTCTTTCACGCTTGTGTGCGTCAGTCTAGTAGGATTAGAACCATTGTCTTTTATATATTTTTCCTTTATATTCGTTTATATCTACTTGTCACTTGTTGATTTATCCGATAAGCGCATAACATTATTTTATGTTGCGTCATTTCTCTTCCGTCTTAATCAAGTAATCTAATTATCGTTTGATTTTTTGTTTCATCAATTGTCAAAAAAATTGTTTAAAAGATTATAGTTGTAAAGATAATGACGAAATTATAATACAGTATAGACAGACGAAATTATGATTCATAATTATTCAATGGCAATAATTTACATATAATTTGTAAGATTCTCCTCATTCCATAATATAAAAAAAATTAATTAATAAATTTAATATGTCTATAAACATTTCTGAATGATAGTGACATGGATGAAAAATAAGTTTGACGCTAAAGATCGAAGTTTTCTTCTTATTTCTTGTTATTTTTATAACTAAATTTTTAAAATATTAGAGATTTGTGAAACTCGGTAACCAGTGGCATGGGCTTTCGCGATGTTTGTTAACAAGATGCAATCGCAGTGAGCCTTTCGTATTAAATTTCTTCTCGCAGATCGTACATTTAAATGGCTTTGAGTGTAGACGTAGATGATTATATAGTTTATTTGATGTATGAAAAACTTTCTGACAGTGTATACATTGATACCGCGTTTCATCATTATTCTTACGATACATCAATCCATTATAAGCTTCAGGACAAAACGAACAGACGTGTTTTCTACTGTGAAATTTTCGAATATGTCTCTTAAATATACCGTGACGGAAAAAGACTAAATTACAGCGAAAACAACTGTCTAATCCATTATGATCGATTGAAAAGTGAGAGTCGAAATCTGCATCTGGTATACATCCGTTATAACATTTGTAGCAGAAATACGATTCTGCATTGAAGATTTTTGTTTGATTTATTGGTACCCTTGCATAGATTTCTGCCATTGATTCTTTATATAATAGTTATCTTCAAAAAAATTTATTAAATTTCTTTTTAAAAGGCACGCTTGAGTAATACCTAGGTATTGATTTTCCTTCGAAATTCTCGTTTCTGAACTTGTCACCAGTTTCTTTCTTCACTTTTAAAAATCCTGTCCAACTGAACGTTTTTGGATTCTCCGTAATTAGGAATTTACATAGATATATGTTGTTAAAAAACACGAGATCGTGTTAATTTATTCTGTAATTGCGATTAAAACACTTTAGTCTGATTAGAAGGACGTTATAGTATGTACAACCTACACAGATTCTTCTAATAATGAACTTAAAAGTCAATACTTTGTAATGTTTTGTATCTTGTCCGGATTCATAAACAAACAACGATTCTTGTTTATATTTACGTATGTAGCTTTTTGAACTTCTTGCAATGACTCTTCAGTTAATGCTCCTGAGAATCCAGCGTGTAAATTATACAAATATGCAACTCTTGATATCAATTGATGATGCAATTCTTACTGCGAAAATTTATTCACTGCAGATATTGCAGATATAAGACGTTTGATCGGAATACCAGAGCTAATTCTTACTCCTACTTATTCGATTCGATGATATCACTTAAATTTAACTGTTAATGCTAATATAATGCTACATGTACTATCTAAATGATAACAGATCTGTTTTCACATTTATATTTTATAAGAGTCTTTAGATCTTACGAAAATTTCCGTACTATTTCTTCAGATAAGACAATGTGCGATTGATCGATAGGAATGGATCGGTGATGAAAAATACTTGTCATAATACACGGAATATAGAATATGTCGATTTTTGCACATGCTATTACTCAAAATGTATACAAGGAAATATGACGCTAGTTGGATGATAGGGGTTCAATATTTCAATAAACAATTTTTTATTATGTGTATGTACAAGATAATTCAATTGTAATTTTTGAAATACATACGGATTTTTCTTGAACTTCGACAAGATTCTACTAGATAAATAAAGTTCGTTAATTCTTGAATTGTAAATGAGATATTATTTAAATATCGTTTAAATAAATGATAAATATTTAAATAAAGATAATGATAGTATTGTGAAAAATATAGGTAATATGATTCATTTATTCTATATATACTTTCTCACGTGTATCTTATATATATGATATGCAATTGAGTTTAATTCCAATTCATATGATGAGATTATTCAAATTAGTCTAGTAGCTTTCTCATAAGGGGAACTTTTTATTACAGTGTTTGCAAATCATTGCCGCATCGATGGATGCATCTCTTTCGGCTTTGAATTATTTGACATTTTTTTCTAGACAGAAACTAGATTTGTTAATTTCGGCGATGTGTCCTATCAGGATATCCTTCATTTCTTTCACTCTTGTATGCGCCAGTTTAATGGAGTTGAACCTTTGTCCTTTATATGTTTTTCCTTTATCTTTGCTTTTTTGTTTGTCATTTGTTGATTTTTCTTGATCCGAGCGCATTCTGGGGATTGTATTGTTTATCTATGAGAATAAATATTCAATTGGTTGATCATTAACAAAATTATTTGCAAAAGTGAAGATATTTTTTCGATTTTCTTCGATCGCATCGACTATTTCAATTTGGATCGAATAGATTTTAATATTGCATTTTTCGACAAATCTTGTATCTTTATTAAGAACTATGGACAGCTATGTGATCATGCATATATTCATTCTACATATGTATTAACATGCTACATATACTTTAAGATAAATTACAAAATGTAAGCAGGTGTCTATATTTTTTCATATACATACATATATATTTTGCTTTCTAACAATTTTAAAATATATTTCCTGGTCATTACCTTTATATTTCCTTCTCATTTTACAACTAAGTTTTTAAAATGTTAGAGATTTTTGAAACTCGGCAACAAGTCACATGGTTCTTCATGATGTTTGTTAACAAGATGCAATCTCAGTGCGACTTTCGTATTAAATTTCTCCGCACAGACCGAACATGCAAATGGCTTTGAGTGTACATATAGATGATTATATAGTTTCTTTGGTCCACAGAAAACTTTCTGGCAGTATATACATTGATAGTGTGTTTTATCATGCTTTTTCTTTCGATACATCAATCCGTTATAAGCTTCAGGACAAAACATACAGACGTGTATTACATTGTGCCTCTTTAGCATGTGTCTCTCAAAAGATTCCCGATTCAAAAAGATATTGAAATCACAGCGAAAACAACAATTTAATTGTTTATGTTTGATTAAAGCATGATAGTATAAATCTGCTCGTTCTACATATTCGTTGTGACATATGTTGCAAGAAAATAAAACCTTTTCTTTGAAAAGGCTCTTTGCTTGATTTGCTGATACCTTCATGCTTGTTGATATTAATTCTTTATATAATGATTCTCTTTAAAAGTTTATTAAATTTTTATTTGAAAGGCTTTTATTTAAAAGGCTGTGTAACACCTAGATATTGATTTTCTTTTGAAATTCTTGTTCCTGATCTTCTTTTCTACTTTCTTCCTTCATCAAGATTCTATTCAATTGAACGTTTTTTTATTCTCCCTAAACAGGAATTAGCATAAATTTATGTTGTTAAAAGACACAATCTGATAATTTATTTTGTAATTCCAATTAAAACATTTTACTTTGATTAGAATAACGTTACACATATATGACTTACACAGATTCTGTGATAATAAGCTTTAGAGTCAATACTTTGTACTATGTTCTATCTCATCCAAACGTATCTATAACAAACAACGAATTCTATTTATATTTATGTATGTACGGTTTTATGAAGTTTTCGCAATGCTTCCTCAATTAATATTCCTGAGTGAATTTGGCATAAATCGTACAAATGAGATCTTTGATCGAATTGATTACTCTTACCGCGAAAATTCGCAAATATTACAGATGTAGGACTTTTGATCGGAATGCCAAGACACGTGCTTGTACAATTCTTCCTTTAGAAACTGCGGTCGCACAGATCACAATGATGCGGTAAAACTTGAGAATGATAGAGTCGATGCACGTGCAAGTGCTAGGACATCTTCTGTTCGAATTGCCTCCACAGATCCTCCACGTGTGTATCTCGCCGGTAAATTGAATAAAGAACAGAAAGCGGAAAGCAGGAAAGAGCATGAAACTGATGAAACAAAGGGTCTGTTCTTTTCAGCTGTACTGCTGCACTAGTGCAATAAGTTAGAAAGAGACAAACATACTTTCTTTCACTCTAACTAATTGCACTAGTGCAGCAGTGCAGCTGAAAAGAACAGGCCCAAAAATTCAGTGGTGAGGGTGCAACGAATACGTCCAGGTTTACTAATGACACCTGGTGCGTTGCAAATCAAGTTCGTAATACAACCTCAATTTCTTTGATATGATCGAGTGTATCGATAAAAAAAAACTAAATCAATTTTATGATTTGTAATAAGTGAATTGATAGAAAGATGACAAATTGTTATTTATATGGACATTTGAAAATTCAAGGACGCACCGAAATGTAAATATATTTATGTTAATAAGAGATTTACAAGTTAAATATAAACGTTTGAAATTTACCGCTGTTCTTTCGCTTCCTGTAACGTCATAAATACGTCATGAATACATCATAAAATTAATTTCCGGCTTCGCCCGTTTGACACATGCTCCTTCCTGTTATTCTTTATTCAAAATGATATGGATGCTTGTCTCCCTTGATACCCTAAAACGAAAAAATGGCCGCACACATCGCAAACGCTGTCGTGGACGTCATGCACCTGTCTCTTCACGTTGAACGCCGATCGGAAGCTCTTGTCATCGAAAGCAGATGGAATAAAAATAGATGTTAAAATCGGAAGCAAATAATTACAGGGGCACACCTATATGAATGTTGCAGTGAATTAAGAGATTACACGAGATGGAGAGTATTTTCCCGCATTCTTTAGACATGCAGGAAGTACAATTATTCTCCGTAATGTTCAAGCGAATTAATTCGATATGTTTATGTTCCGATATTTGTTTGCACTGTCTCGAGTATCCATCATGATCCATCAGCGGTTCTTTCGAAATTTCTGCTTTTTTTCAAAGAGTTATCCCAATAGAAATCTATAACCGAATAACCGATCGATTCCAATCTTGAGATCGTGAAATCATCGAAAGTTAATGATAGATATTTTTTGCTAAATCGTTGGATGAAATTTTCCCGATATTAATCTTTTCATATTGAATACATAGTTTCTTTGCAAATTATATCCAATATGTCTCATTTTTCCATTCGATCCATGTGAAAAGAGAATTAACTAAATGACTCAACTTCAAATCTTTTAGAGAAAAATTTATTGTAAATTCTTCGAGAAAAAAATTCATTGCAGTTATAACTTTCTAATATTTTTGTCAACGATTCCATATAAAATTAGAATTTTAAATACAACATTTTAAAATTATCTTTTCATTATGTGCGTTCGCTTCTCCAAAAATTAAAAAACTTTCCACTTTGAATGTTACTCTCTAAACTTACTATTTTTAGTAAATACTCACTGATTACAAACAGTTATAAGTACAGCACTGATTACAGTGATAATACACTGATTCACTTTTAAAGAGTATATTGAAAATATACTGAATAGCTTTTGTAAGATAAATCTTTTCCATTATATATAGCATTTTGCTGAATTATTGAATATATAAATACGAGTAAAGAATATGTATTTCAAATATATACAACAAAAATATAACTTAACAGATTGTAAACTGCTTGCAATAAAAACAATCATTAAAGACAGAAAGAATTTTTTTTTTAATTTTTTAAGTTTCTATAAAATTTCATAAAAATTCTCTAATTTTTCTCTAATTTTTTTTCTCGGAAAAAAGAAAATCGCTTAAAATTGCAGTTTCTTCAAGTTTTTCAGAAAATATAAACCTGTAATTAATCACAATTGGTTTGTAAAATTAAAGTGTTTCGTGGTGATTAAAATAACAATGCATACATGTAATCAATTTATTTTGTTAATTTATAATATTGAACTGCAACTATTAACATTTGCAACTGTTAACATTTATTGTACAAATATTTACAAAAATAAACAATAAATATTTATATGCTTCTATCTGAAGTCTTGTAAAAGTTTTCTCATTGTTCCCTCAGAAAGCGATATTACATGACAATATATAGTTTGTGATCAATATGAATAAATCGGTCATTCTTTTATTCCTTAAAAAATTAAGGAAACATTTCGTAATATATAATGGATTTTTAACATGCATTAACACATTTTACACGTAATCATTCGAAAGTTATTCAATCATTTCTTTAAGTATAGAAATGCTTTTGTAAAAAGAGAAAAATAATTTATTTAGAAAAAAATAAAACTAAATAAATTTTTAATATCTAACTACAATTGAGAACAACATTATTGTGCAAGAAATTCTGAAATACAATCTTGTCTTTAATTTCACATCTTCCTTTAATTAGATTTACAGGACCAGATTAACGAGCAATTGCAGAAGCCATTACTATTATTTCCTAGCAATTGTTGCTGATTTTTATTAATGGAATGATACGAATATATATCTCACATTATAACCCATCAAATTGATGGATCTCGTAAATCGAGTGTTAAACAATATTTTCTTTATGAGAATTACTATTATATATCTCTATATATATACTATATTATTATATCTCAGTTTAAATTTACGTACGTTAAAGAAGAAATAATTAAAATTAATAAATTGAGAAAAATTGTCTTGTAAAATTAAAATTAACAAAATGAGAAAATTATTTTATAAATTCGTCAGTGCTTTACATATATCATTTATTACATATTATAGAGGGGGTGACTTATTTTTAATTAATTCACTCAAATATCTCGAAAAATATGAAAGATGAAAAAATTATTTAATTCGAAAGAAAAAAAGATAGAGATTATTAATTTGATATTGGTTATAAATCAATATTGACTATACAAGATTAATATAACTTTCTAAATGAAATCACATTTCTTTACATATTTCAATTCCTTGCAATATTTGGCATAAAAAGTTATTAAAAAAATAATGATCAAAAATTGATAGCTTAAGAAATATTTTATATAAGAAGTTGACAAAATTTATTATAATTTTATATAAACTTCTTATAAATTGTTTATTTTTGAATTATTTTTTCTTAACTTTACTTTATGCATGAAATAATAAGAAGAATCAAAGTAAAGAAGATATGTAAAGAAGATAAGAATCATGTAAAGAAGATATACTAATTGAACGAGCAGCTGTAGGTATTTTTAAGAAAAAATGTATAACTGCTCCTCGTAACTTCAAACAGCCTTTCTATTAAGTCTTCCAAATTCTCTGAAACTAAAACTAAACTCTTAATTGTTAATTAAAAAATTAATCTTTATACTAAACTCTTGACTAAACTTTTAAATATTAATTAAAAAATTAATCTTTACATGACGTTGATAAATCAGACCAAACTAGTATTCTTATGTGTTTTTCCGACCAACCTTTCCAACAACTTTTGTTTGAAGCAACTTTTGTTTTTTTTTTCGTATCTTCCATATTTCTTGAAAAAGAGTGAATTGATTGAAATGAGCTTTCTTAATATTTTTTTACTATTGTATTCTACTATTGTGTTAATTTTAAATTATGTGTCAAATTTAAGTGTTAAATTGGAATGTTTCGTTTTATACATAAAATTACATTGTTTAAGAAAATAGTCAAAATAAAAACATATAATGTATATAATTTTTATAAAAATTATAATTTTCTTAAAGTTATCAATAAATATATGAAATATATGAAGTAACATGTATGAAATTGATTTATATAATTGCTAATAATTGCGAAGTCCTATAACCGTGTAAATAATAATATCCTTAAATTATATCTATTTCCTAAAGTGTCATTTATTAACTAAAAAATGATTATTTACGGACGTTATTATTTTCAAATTATGTAACATGAATTGATTAATTTTAGTATATATCTGTACGTACTTCTATTTCAATATATGTCTGTACATATCTCTCTGTAAACGAAGTTGATAGAAAGAAATTCGCAGAGTGCGAATATTTCTTTGATATTATTTACTCGTATTATTGTGCCTTTTTGGAACGCTATGAAGAACGATGTAAAACCGATATTTCGTGGGGATGGGCTATGTGTAAATGTGCGCATAAAATACTATAATCGGGTAACATCTCTTCACAAATGTGACACTTGTTTAACTCTGTATGAAAATGCAGATATTTATTTAATCCATTTGAAAAACAAATATCATATTTCGCGAGATATTATATAAATATTTACTTACCATGTGTTTTTCCATGTTTGTAATAATTAGCATACTGGAAAAAGCTTTTTCCACAATAAATACACCTAAAATTATCAATTTCATGGTGAACTGAATAAAAATGTTCGTTACATGCTACCAAATTTCGAAAGATTCTATAACACACAGAGCATCTGATTCTTATAACATGAATTTTCTCGTGGTTGATCACATCTTCTATTCTGGAAAACGAAATTCTGCATACGCGGCATTTATACTTTCTGCTTTGCAAACTAGATAAGAAATCAGTTACACTAGTTAGACTAGTTAGACTAGTTAGTTCTTGATTAGTATAATTATTCGAAGATGCGGACTCTGCTTCTGGTTCCATCACTCTCTTCGTGTAATTTGTATGACGTTTCAGTATGTATTTTTTCGAGAATATTTTTCAAGAATAACCTCGCAATCGTAATGCGTGATTGCCGATTTTTTGTTTTCTGAGTTCGCTCCAAGTTTTTTCCTTTTTATAAGTTTGTGTTGTACAAAACGCTCTTCGACTTTCTTGATCATATGCTCTATACATATATATATATATTGTTAGAAGATCGTAATAATTGCAAAAAATCTTATAATTATTAAATATAATTATAATTATTGAATTGGAGAAAATCGGAATTATTTAAAAGAGCATCGCAACAATTGGAATATCGCACTGTCTTACATATATAAATGATATTCTCTATGTCCGACTCGATGATATATTAAACTCAACTGTTAAAGCTAATACTCTATCTAAATTATAAACAAACCTGCTTTCACTTTTATATTTTATGAAAGTTTCTAGATCTTCTGAAAATGTCCGTACTATTTCTCCAAATAAGATAATGCGATTGTTCGATAGGAATGCAAAATCAGTAATGAAAAATACTTGTAA